AGTTGCATTACCAGATAGACTAGCAGTACGCTGACGAGATGCAAAAGTTGAACCGTGCAGAGAAGATGATGAAGGCGTTGCCATTGGCCCTGCCAGTGACACTGATCTTGACATGCTAGCGGTAGATATCATAGAAAGTTTGCTGGACGGCCGAGTTCGAGTTTGCAAATCGCCAGACGCTACTCGGCGGGGGCTTGGGTGCGCTGGAGCTAGGAAACGCCCATTGGCAGATCCTCTTACTGAGAGATTGGAATAACCACTGGCCTTTCTGGTGTGACCAGTCGTCCCAGAGCTGATACCAGATGTACTACTATTCCTACCAGAGCTGAGGACACTAGCAGGACGGGATTTCTTGCCGCAGATCCTATCGCGAGCCATTTCTTCCAACTCGACCCATGTCTGCTGAACACGTCGATATTCAGAACTGGCGCGAGCATCGTCCTTGACTGATTCTATGTATGCCGCTACTTGAGTAACAATGCGCTTCGTGAAAGCAAGGCGAGCTGTAAGTTGTTCTTCTGGGGGCAAACGAGAGGTCGAGACATGCGTGCTAGAAAGTGGTCCAGCAGGAGGAGAAGGGTAGCTGTCAATGTGCTCAAGCAGATCGCTGAGAGCCATATCGCAACGATGAGCGACGTCAGATAGGTCAGCTAATTGTCGGATCCGTTGCATCAGCTCGGTGGATGCTTCGACTTCCGAATTTGCCGATCGCAACTCCATATCTGCGGCAGGGGATGACATCGAAGAAGGTAATGCAGCAAGCTCGGATAATTCAGAAACTATGGACGCAAAGAGAGCATTCATCTTCCCGTATTGCTCTAGAGTCGGTAGATGATTGGAAGAATTCGAATTAGCTGCCGGATGTGCGACCTCATTGATGCCGATAGAACGAAGTCGTTTCCTCAGCGAGACAACCTTATCCAGCAGATCGCCCCTCTGATGGGTTTTCGTCGGTGATGGAGAAGGAGCAATACGCAACCCAAATACATCTAACGCAAATAATTAGAACTTATCAGTGAACATCAAAGACTGGGCCCCTCACCTTCAAATAGTTGCGATTCATTTCTTTCCTGGTATTCGGTTTCCTGTAGCTGAATGCCCGCCTTTCTTTGAGCCTCAGCTTCAAGACGTTCGCGTTCTCGCGCCTGACGCTCCATCTCGGCCTGCTGCTGCTCGGCCTTCAAACGCTCTTCCTGCGCCTGTTGTTCATCACGCAGCTCCTTCTCAATCCTTAGCCTTTCTGCCTTTTTGTGCTCTTCCTCTTCTCTTGCTCTCGCCTCTGCCTCTTTGCGTTCTTGCTCTTCTTTGGCTTTCGCCTCTGCCTCTCTGCATTCTTGCTCTTCTCTTGCTCTCGCCTCTGCCTCTCTGCATTCTTGCTCTTCTCTTGCTCTCGCCTCCGCCTCTTTGCGTTCTTGCTCTTCTTTGGCTTTCGCCTCTGCCTCTCTGCATTCTTGCTCTTCTTTGGCTTTCGCCTCCGCCTCTCTGCGTTCTTGCTCCTCTTTGGCTTTCGCATCTGCCTCTCTGCGTTCTTGCTCTTCTTTGGCTTCCGCCTCCGCCTCTCTGCGTTCTTGCTCTTCTTTGGCTTTCGCCTCTGCCGCCCTGCGTTCGAGTTCAAGTTCAACCCGCCGCCTTCTCTCTTCCGCTTCTTGTTCCTCTCTGAGTTTAGCAGCCTCGATACGTTTTGCCTCCGTGGTGAGCGTAACCGACAGCTTGCCCCGAAGCACAGCTGCATTATCGGCCCAGGTACTCAATTTGACCTCAAGATTATCCACCTCCCTTCTTCGTGACATGATGAGAGTCTCGTAGATACGATGATCGTGCGAACAAGGCACAGATTCCATTTGGCGCAAGGATTCACGGATCAAGGAGAGGCGGCGCGATAAGCGAGAACGATGTTGCGATGAATGTCTGTCAAGCTCCTCTGATAGATCTTGCAGCGGAGTAAGCTTCTCGTCTGCTCGAGAGATAGAGTCCAGTAGTGTTCTCAGCGAGCCAAGCTCTTCAGTGACACCACGCAGGTCATCAGCCACCAAGGTCAATTCAGAATCAACATCTTTGGCCATGCATGCCAACTGAAGATGTTCAGTCTTCTGCTCGAGGCTTTGTACATCCCCTAAGAGACGCATAACTAGCAAATTGGAGTCCCCTCGAACGGCGTCATCAAGGCTGCGTAACGTGAAGGGTGGTTCGATGGCGGCTGGTACATCGAATGAGATGAGTTTTATGTTCCCTGCCGACGAAAACCTTTTCCGAACGAGAATAGGTGCGTTCCTTTGATCGGACGCATGCTGAGAGAGGAACGGTACCCGCTGAGCTACGGTGTTCGTGAATGCGTCGGCAGTACTACGGAGCGCATTTGACTCGTCCTTTAGTTGATCCTGCGTGTTACCCAAGCTTTCCCCACAAAGTTGGTCATTAAGAATTTCCTCGATGGTGGCATCATAATGGATCTTGAGGTCCTCAACCCGAACCTGGAGCTCGTGGACGCTGTCCTGAAAAGAGGTCATAGCTGCATATTGTGACCGAATAGCGTCCAGGAGAATGACCATCTGCTTCAAATTGTCCAAGTGACCAAATAACCCTTCAGAGGTACGAGAGAGGAATTCGTCCAGGGGCTTCTCAAGCATTCCACTTAAGGTAGCCAGTGGATGCATCACGTCATTTGTGAGGGTCTGGTAAACGACCTCTAAACGACCCACTATGTCGCTAGACGACACTGAGGGTGTAGGAAGGACATCTTGAGGTGGCGTCTCCGGAGTCAGAGGTTCTGCACTTTGATTGGTCTGTTTCCATCTTTCTCTCTCCATTAGGTCGGCGACCTCGCTCCGTGTGTCCTCCAGCTCATTCAGAACACCATCCATGATCGACCAAACTCTCCTAGCTACACGGAGTCTGCCGAGTCTTGTGTTCACGTCAGCGCAAATGGCAGCAGCTTTGTCGCGAACAGCAACTAAAGCCTCAATCTGAGCGGCGGCATTGTCCTTGAATGTTTGGTCAATACCGGGTCGCTCTGCATTGAGAAGTGCCACCCGAAAGGCTCGCAGTAGATGGTCGGCTTGAGTGCATGATTGCTCCACCTCTTGAGTGATTGATGGTAGGAAAGTAATGAATGCGGAATGAGCCGTAGGATGCAAACAATCCTCCGATATGAGACTAGGAGGGGTGCCGTCACCATCACAGGCAGTGACTCCATTTTCAAGACGATCAATAGCGGAGTTGAAGATTTCCATTAATTTATCAGTAGACCGGGACAAGGACTCGACATCCTTAACAGCTTCATAACCAACTCTGTACTCCTTAGCAAGAGAATCAACCTTGGCAACGAGATTCGAAGTGGAAGCAAGTTCTGAGGACAAGATTTGACTGATCGCCTCGTTGGCTGATTGTTGGTCAGGAAAGAGAACATGTTGTGGTCGCGGGAAGGTGCCACCACTTGCGATAGGATTACCCCTCACAGCAAGCCTTTTCACCAAAGTCTCTGCACGGGAAAGGAAGCTAGTACTCTGGCGGAAAGTCGGGTGATAAAGCTTCGAAGTTTCGATTTCTTCCAAAAGGTTTTGGGCAGCGTTCTCATCTTTCATTGTTTCAACGTAGATTTCATCAGCTCTGACTAGCAATTAGCGAAATGACCATCTAGAAAACGAGAAGTCTCACTTCCGCCATTGCGTAACAATATTCATGACAAATTTGCCGACGTGTTCCATCTCGTTGATGCCTTTGTCCTCGAGTTTGTCCTGCTCGTCTAGTAGCTCCTCCGGAACAGCCCTGCGACTGTTGTCTATCAACTTGTCTAGAGCTTTGCCAGCCGCAGCGACCTTTCCGTGCCTAAGAGACGACACCCTGCCAGCAACCTGTGCCGAATCCCGTGAAAGGATTTCTGCAAGCTTGAAACGGGCGCTGCGAGAGAATCCAGTATTGGACGTAACAGACGTATCTGAAGCCATGGAAGCAACAGAGCCACGACGATTTGAGGGCTTTTCTTCAGATTTAACCATGAATTCGTAAATGGAAGGCGACCATCTAGCACGAGTAGTGAGGAAATTCTCAATGTCTGCAAGTATCTTCTGGCGGTCACTCCAGGCTGCGCGACGTTGCTCTTCCCACGTCAGCCTAATACCCAGAAGATCAAGGTTTTCGGAGCGGTCCCGCAGGAGGTGGAGGAGCTTGTCGAGTTCATAAATGGTCGTAAGAGTGAGTTCGATAACGTCAGTGTCTTCTGGTGAAAGATGCCTCTGTGTAGCCGCTGGTGCCATCGTCAGCACTTAAATTAAAAGAAGAACAAGGAGGCCTATACCTTTAGTGAGTGCCCTAAGCTTCTTGAGCTCCCCAGAGTCAAAAATTTCTGTCTCTTTCTCAATCCTATCGTGTTCTGCAAGCCATTCCTGAAGCTGTTTGCGCGTGGGTAAACCGGGGATGTCTTCTGCGGAGGTTCGTATGGCGTCCAGCCCGACAAAAACCTCGATAGGAGGAAGTGCCTCCAAGAACTATGGGACAAAGAACAATTAACTTGAAGACAAGGATAAGAATGACACATCCGCACTTTGATTTTATCTTCTATCCAGGCTTTCCGCTCGCTGAATGCCTGGAGCTCAATGACCTCATGAATCTCTAACGCTTGTTCCTCCTCATTTTGCGAGACTTGAGCTTGAGAGAGTTCCGAATCAGAGCCAGCGAATGCCTGTTGATCGAGTGGAGGCGTGCCGGACGCCATATCTGGAGAAACACATGAAGCAGCCGCTGGCGTGGCTATTGGTCCAGGCACCTCGGGCAACATCCAGTAAGATAAAGACTAACAATTATATGAAAGTTATCAGCCAGGAAAATGTCGCATTGCCTGCAGATGTTCGCAACGCTAGATAGCAGAGTCTTATGACCGCGCGTTCGCCTGCAGAATTCAACGAGGCCTAGGCGCTAAACACTAGGCCAGTCACCGGTACATCTATTACCTAAGCCGGGCCACCTTTTTTAGATTGCCGGCGGGAGAAGATCTCAGGCCGCCAGGTCGACTGTCACTGTCGGTACTTCTACTTCAAGCGTTCTGCTCGGCTGATATGGAGGCCAGACCGCCAGAAAACACTGATACCAACACTTCTGCTGCACCCACAAACGCCGTGCTGGATGCACGGGTCAACTTTTTTCAAAGACATCCAGCCATCACCCATTTTACAGCGTTAGCAGTGTTTTTCACACCACTTGCTGCAGTGCCATATTTGCTATCTAAGAGGCGTATCTCCGCTCTATCCAGAAGGTTGGACGAACTCTCAGCCGCAACCACTGCTTTGCAGGCGGAATTAAAGACTTCTGCGACTGAGAATGCCACACGGAAGTTGGAATCACATCGCACCTCAACCTCGCTTGAGGCTGCAAGAACGGAACTCATTCAGCTGCGCCGCAGCTTCGAACAGCTTCGTATGGAACGCGATGCGTCAGAGATGACGACACGGAACGCTCTGAAGCAGCTTCTTGAAGAGAGAAAGCTGACCAGGCAAGCGGAAACTGGAATTGCAGTCATTCTGTGATGAGCCCATCTTTGCTGACGTCGTTTTCTTACAGCGAACGCCTGGCACTTCTTCCCCAGCTGGGCACTTCACTGGCTGATGTCGCCGCATTCATGTACGAAGTAGAGTTACATCAAGGCATTACGTCAAGTGTCATTGATGGTCATGGTGTGGAAAGGCTTCGCCGACTTGCACTTAAATTGCACATAGCGCAGTCGGAGGAGCTGAGGTAGCCACATATAATTGTCAACCACATACCCCTACTTCAGTGGGAGAATCGTAGGATGGTTTCAGAATTGATTGTGATAGACTAGGAGGTCTGGGTAGCTGTATGATACATTTCATGATGTATTGATATCTAAGCATTGGACTACTGTATCATATATCTGTGTTGTGCGAGCCGAGTGAACCCATATCTTGATTTTTATTACAACAACGGTAAAGCATTTCCAAAAGCTCTACGTAGAATATGTGAACATGATACAATAGTGACGACGAAAGCAAGCCCATCATACAGTTGATACAACTGGTATCACACTAGAAAGACATGGCGTGTAAGATGCCCAACGGGCCAAGGCTAATACAAGTTCCACGCAAGAAAGGTATACATATGTACAAAAACAAACGCTCACGTAGATAGCCACAACTTCCACCACTTGCGTTTCTTCGGAGGGCTGGGAGCTTCGGATTTGGGGGGAGGTATCCTATCACGGAAGTCAATTGAACGAAGACCAACACTGCCAGCAGAGCGACATACTCATCTACATATACAGAATAGTCTCTGCGTAGAGAATCTATAGCTTGGGTTATCTGCGCCTGATACGCTAGGCGTACACTATTCGGCACCGCGATCTTGCGGCGCCATATAGCCAGGCTATTGCCTGACTTAGATGGGAGAAATACGAAAACGACCACCAGCGCGGAGGGGTCGTAAAAGGCCACTGACTCTTGCAGAGTACGATCCATGGTCTTCTGTAGCTCCGGGTATGTTAACCAGTCAAAAGCTGGTTCATTCGGTGACTTTGAAGGCCGATAATCGGCGTTCACTATGAGAGCGCCACGCTCGCGTGTTTGCAAAAATTTCTGCAGCTTTAATGACGATTTCAAGATGGCGAATAATCATATATGGAAATTCGACTTACTCCAAACGAGCCCAGTCCGTGTGATACCGACTGGATCCATTCCAGCTTAGAAGCGACGCGCTCGTCTTTGTCAGGCGGGAACATCCAGTGGAAACGGTCCTTCGCCATGCGCGAATTTTCACCGAAAAAGGCGCCTGCCACAGGACTTATTGCAGCTCCCTTAGACTCGATAAAGTCTGCAAAATCATGTGTGGCGTTGCGGGCTGGGCGATTTTCTATGGGTGCTGCTGTTCCATGGTATGCGTAAGTAAGTGTTTTCGATGGCGTGCCGCCGTATGTCGACAACCCGAGCTTATTTGGGGGAAATGCGTTGACGATAAAGTTTTCTACTACTGTAGATGGAGCAACGGAAGGAGCGGTGTGAGGAGGCGAGAAATGTACTCGTCGACCCCATGCATCGTGCGTATCCTCGTAATCATCGGGGTCGTCTTCATCTTGCCAGCCCTCGCCCAAACCCCAGACATCGTTGTCATGCTGCTGCTGCTGCTGTTCCTGTTCTTGCTGCTCCTTCTGCTGACGTTTCTTCTCCTTCTTGTTCTGCTTACTCTCTTTGTCTTTCTTATGCTTCTTCCCTTCGTGTTGCGGCTGGTTCGAGTCCTGATGGTGTTGCGGTTGATTTTGGTCATGATGGTGTTGCGGTTGATTCGGATTATGATAGTGCTGCTGTTGGTTCGGGTCATGATGGTGTTGCGGTTGATGGTAGTGCTGGGGTTGGCTCGGGTCATGATGGTGTTGCGGCTGGTTCTGGTTCTGGTCCTGGTCCTGGTGGTGTTGCAGTTGGTTGGGGTTCTGGTGTTGTTGCAATTGGATGGGGTTCTGGTGTTGTTGCAATTGGATAGGGTTCTGGTGGTGTGGCAACTGGTTGGGGTTCTGGTGGTGTTGCGGCTGATTCTGGTGGTGGTGTTGCTGCCTGTGCTGGTTCTGCGCATGAGCTAAAGCGTAAGTTTCAGAGTGTTGCTGCTGAACATGGCGATGTTGCTGCTGCTGCTGCTGCAACTGCTTGTGCTGACTCTGCGCCTGAGCTAGAGCGTAAGCTTGCTCTTGTTGCTGGCGGAATGCCGCTGACATGACAGCTTGCTGTTGAGACCACTGTGTATTAGTAGATTGCTGCTGGGACGCTTGTTTGTTTGTGCCTTGCGGCTGGAAATAGCCACCAGTACCTGGGGGCGGATTGGCAGCGGCATATGGCTGTTGACTCTGTTGTAACTCATTAAGTAACGATATCATATTAACTAAGATAGGACTGTGATGCTCCAAGTGGAACTGGGAGAGGATAAATAGTGGAATAAAAAGTCACCTTGGGTAATCTTCGTGCCTCTTCCCCCCATGTTTGCCAACCGCTCTGCTGGTTCGGTTGACGCTGGGCATGCACCTGTGGTGCATGAGTAGACTGCTTCTGAGGGTACGCCTGTGGTGCATGGGTAGGCTGCTGTTGAGGCCAGGCTGCCGCCGGCGCTCCCCATGAGTCGTCCTCAGCGGACCATTCTTCTTCCTCAATTTCCGAGGTATCTCCGTCTTGTTCCCAGCCAGCTTCGTGGCCCCAATTACTCCAGGCAGGCTCATCCATAGCGCGTTGAGTGGTTTGACTCCAATTACCTTTCGAGATCTGCTTTTTCGCTGGTGCTGGCGTTCCTCCAGCATCTTCCCAAGCTCCGCCGCCGCTTCCCCATCCATCATTATGTTGCGATTGCTGGTGCTGTTGGTGTTGGGGGTGTTGTTGGTGTTGTTGATGATGCTGATGGTGTTGCTGCTGCTGGTATTGATGCTGCTGTTTTTTTTGAGACTTAGTGTTGCCACCGTCCTTCTGCGGTTGTAGTGGTGGCATCTGTGCCTGAGGAGCGCCCGTCTCCCATTGCTCATCAGTGGCCCAGTCACCATTGCTATTTTGAGGATCATTGGACGCCCAGCCATTCAGATCCTGTGTGGCATCGCCCGTGTCATGCATTTGCTCCCAAGAATCCTCATTAAGCTCTCCAGCATCCATGTCACCTTCGTGGGAGATAACATTCAGAATCCTGTGGCTATGGATATGAGATGGGCAAAAAGGACTCACCGAGTCCACCAAAATCATCCTCCTCTTCCTCAATCGTATCTATGGTCATTATCCGGGGAGGAGGCAGTGCAAGTGGCGGGGGAGGAGGTAGAGGTGCAGGAGGTGGAGGTGCAGCAGGAGCAGCAGGAGTCTCCTTCTGCTTGCCCTTCTTGTTATTCTTGGGCATCTTACCCCACACGAAATACGTAGATTGTGAGACTCGTGTTTAGTGACGCACTGACACGCGTAAGGACAAGAAATGAAAGGCTCGAGGATAATGAACCGAGTAAATGAACAAGATCAGGGCCAATTGCGATAGAAGATTTCCAAATGGCGTAGATCGATAACTTGATTCTCAGATATAATGGGAGATAGACAGGACACGCGTAAACCAGGCCCATCACGTGGAAATGATTATCCCTTTACATTAACACCTAACCTTAACGTAAGGTTACTACATCCCTTAGATCCGCTTTGTCACCTCGTCCACAACCTCACTCGTTTTACTCTTACCACCCAAATCAGGTGTCAGAATCTTGCCTTCCCTGAGAACAGAATCTACCGCTCTTTCGATACGATTCGCGCCATCACCATATCCAATATGACGCAGCATCATTGCCGCTGAACGAATTGCTGCCAATGGGTTTGCAATATTTTGTCCAGCGATATCTGGTGCAGAACCGTGAACACTGTGAAAGTCAATCAATGAACTGAAACCTAGCAGACGTCGTTGCTTACGGCTCCCCCATTACAAATGAGTCTCCTGCATTGACCGAAGGCACCAAACCAAGCGACCCCACCAACGCTGCAGCTGCATCCCTACACCAAGCGGGTCAAACAATATAAAAGTGGAACTGACGAACGACATACGAAAGGATGTCACCATAGAGATTGGGTGCAACCATCACATCATAAATTCTAGGAAATAGCTCATTCAGCGCGCAATCTGGCTTTCCAAGACAAACTTACTCGGGCTCACGGAACAATCTTGGAACGCAGAATACGTCATTGCAGGCTAACAATCAAAAAATCTCACGCACCTGTACACAGCACTATCTACAAGTTGTTCGGCAACTGTTACATCATCATACTTGCCATCCACACCAGGTAATGTTGGTACTGCACGGACCGTCTCACGGAACAGACCATCCGTAATAGAAAGGACGTTCGATTTGTGGATCACGGTCAAGTGCTAAGCCGATGTGTCACCGAAGATGTTTGATCAATAAGTGTTCGAGTACCTTACGAGGGCGCTCCAAGGCCATTTTGAACGCCAACTCGCCAATCCGGCGGGAAGCCCGTTCTGTGATAAGGCGAGTAGCCCGGGCCTCCTTGCCGTGTTCCCCGACAGTCTGTGTTTCCTGCTTGACGTACTGTTGTGCCTGTAAGTTAAATAGAAATGTCGCACGAAAATGGTACTACCAGGCACTCGGTGTTTTCACGAATGACAACAAGGTCTACACCTGGCTTCCCTTCAGGATTGACGGAAACCTGGCGGAAATATATATCAACGGACAGGCCGAGTGGCATTGAGCAAGGAACTGAACACACTGATTTCACTGGCCGGATATTGGCATATAGATCCATCTTTTTGCGAAGTGCGACGATTGGTGAAGAATACCCAGTCACTTTTCGAGACGGAGAGCTAGCGTTATTCATGTATTAGGCTTGATGTATTGCCAACAAGGTGAAGAGTGCATACCTGACAGCCCCAAAAAGTGCACAATCACATTCATTTTTCAATATCTCAACAGTCTCGTCAGGAAGTGCAGTTCCTGTTTTCGTGAAGTACTCGAAACCAGCGAGTAAGTCAATAAACTCCGTCTTCGGTATAGATGATCCAAGAGCCAGAATGGCAGCCTTCGCACCCTGACCAGCGTGTCTATCAATCTATACCAGTGGAAAAATACCAACACTAACAGGTAAAACTTCCCTGCCAATTCCGTCAGCTGGGAGCATCCCAATTTTTAATGACTGCCGGGCAGCAGTGGCCATTGAACGAATGGGCACTCTGAATACCATAGTATTAGTTGTCAGGTCGTAGGCTTGAGACGCGGTAGAATGGAAAGATAATTCGGGAAAGAGCCGAACTTCCTTACATGCAGGCCCAATGCGGGCCGGCTTTCGGCTGCGTTCCGGGTGCAAGTGAGCGCCGTGTGGTCAGGTGAATTATTCAAACATGTGTACTTATCGCGACAGGTCACGTTGAAACGTTGACGCGTGACGTCTTGCACATCTACGCCAAGAGTGTCTGTCAGATGCTACTCCACCTCTCGTACTAGTACCTTACAGCTGTGTACCTTATTCAATCTTCGGGTATTGCATGGGCAACCAAACTGGACACGGACTTGCTCATTAAACATAATTTTTATGTTGACTGCGCTTCGGCTTCCGCCCAACACAGGCAACACCATGTACTACGTTAACACTATATTCATCATGATGGTGATGCAGTACTTATGTAAAATCTTGAATCCAATTAATGTTCGATTATTAATCAGAAAAGTCGCGTAGCACGTGATGAGCGCGACGCGATTATGTATGAGAGAACGCGGTCGTTCTGCCACCACCGTTTACCTAACTTACCTCGTTCAAATAATTCTTCGGATATGCTTGATAGTTCCGAGGTTCCTCGCTGCGAAATTTTCTCCGATGCTACCAACGTTCGGGAGAGCCTACACTTCCACCCATCACAACTTCCAACGCCAGGTACACCGTTAGACGATGAAAAACCAAAGCGCCGTATATCACAGTCTGACGAAACACCTACGAAGAAGCCGAGACTGATGGTTGCAGAATCTAGCCGCGGCAATGATGAAATTGACGTTGTGGTCAAAAGACGAGGTTGTCGTCGTACAGTGTTTCGAACGTTGGACCTAGCTTCCAATGGCTATCCTGCTAAGCCTCATAGGATGCTTTGTAGGTCAAATAACTTTATTCTGTATATCCACCTGAGGAACCTCTGCAGTGCCATCTCGCAACATTCTTCAGTCATTTGTGTCCTCGCATACATCGGATGTTTTCAAATGTCATTCAAGAACAGTTGACTCTTACGTTACACCCCCTTACGCCTGTGCATACTCCAATGGCATGACTTTCCTTTTTGAAATATTACTCCCATTAAATTTTCGTACAGAAGCAAAACGTGGTGGTGTACCCCTTCTTGCTGTTGCCACGGAGCAAGGGTCCATCCACATTCTCGATGCGACCAAACGGAAAGAATGGGATTGTGGTAGGTCTCAATCACGTCAATTCGGCATTGACCGATACTGACCTGAATCAAGAACCTGCACGAGTGACCCTCGAGCCCCATGACAATGGTATTTTTGACGTCAAATGGAATGCGGACGACACTCTTCTTGCTACGGCATCTGGAGACAAAAGCACGAGGATATCCTCTGTGGAGACGCAACAATTGCTTTCCATTCTTGATGGCCATACCAGCACTGTAAAATGTGTTGCGTGGGATCCAGCGCATCGAGACCTTTTGACTACGGGTGGCAGGGACGGCATGCTTTGCTTGTATGACCTGCGAGTCAACAACTTATCCGATCAAGATGAAATCCCCGCAAGAAGTGCTGTAATCACAATCACCGCTGCTCACGGACAGGATAAAGTTTCTGGAGGCAGACAAAAGATTCGACCTTTACCCAGAGGTATCACAAATATTCTTTACCCCGATGACCGACCTCACGGACTAGTCAGTAGCGGATCTTTTGATGGGTAAAGGTTCTACTTTTTTTTACAAGTACATAGTTAATCAACCCTGCAGCATCTTACACTACTGGGACCTTCGCCTTCCTTCGAACAAGTCATCAAAGCGCAGCCCCAAAAAACCATCACACAACCCGCTATTTTCTTCTATCATGGACCCGACTATATGTCATGGTGCTCGTTCTCGAGGTATCACAAGCATGTCTCAAGGAACAGGTCCCAGCGCAGGCCTCCTCTTTGCTCTCGGCGCCGATTCTCGCTTGTACATCTATTCTTACCCTACCCTGACTCCACTTCGCACTGAAACCCACCCGAACCTCCAAACGAACTCGTTCTATGTCCGACTAGCTACTTCTCCATGTGGACGCTGGCTCGCAAGCGGCAGCACGAGCCTAGCTGGAAGCTTGTTCCTTTTTGATATCAGTAACGCAGGCAGGATAGCGCCATCTTACGGCAAGAGGGCTGATGAACCAATTTCCCCAACAGTCCGTTTCCGTGGACAATCGGGTGAAATTGGAGCAGTCGACTGGGCAAAGGACATGGTTGCGAGCTGTGCTGATGACGGAACAGTACGAATCTGGAGGCCTGATTTGGAGGTGTATCAAAATTGTATCTCCAATTCGGAGGAACAAAAGTGGGATTGGTTTTGGTCCGCCTGAATTCATTGACCTACACATCTTGACGTGGGTGTAGTGGTTGTCATTGGAAAAAAACACTTTACAATTAGACCTGTGATATGAATAGTGTTGAGTCAAACGTTTTGATGGCCCGCAGGGTGGTGACCTTTTTGTTTACGATTACATGCATCTAATGGATTGATGGTCCACGCAACACTGCAACAAGAGGCCGAGGAAATTGTTGAAGTGCTTGCTAGCCAGCAGTAGCCAATATTGATGAGCCTCAAGTTTTACTTTTTATAGTAGCACGGGACCCTTGACCTCGAAGTGTGCGCTGGGGTAGGGTCCCGGTCATCCTTCGTGAGATGGAATCCAAATCTATAGCGCAAATTATGGGACAAATACAATTATGCTTGCTGTACCAATGGGTATACCATTGTCCAAAGACGAGCAGAAGAAATATGCAAGAGACGATGAAGATGTACGTGCACGAGGACGACCACATATTCTACTTTTTCTGTATTGCATTTACCAACCTGTCATTCGGACATGTCAATATCGTAAGAATGGGACAAGGCACATCACTAACCAGTCTAAGCCTTCCTCTAGACCTGTCCCCTCTGTTGCACAACTTCCACGTACACTCCATGGTCTCGACGTCTCGCGACCTGCAAGACCAAGTTGTTCACTGATACCTTCGGGTTTCAGTGCTCCTTCGACGTCTTGCTTATTGCAGAATACAAGAAGTGGCACGCCGTTGAGTTCATCTTCCGAAAGCATGGTCAATAGTTCACTCCGTGACGTCGTCAACCGCGCATGATCCGAAGAATCGATGACGTATATGATGGCAGATGTATTTGGAAAATAACACCGCCAATATGGCCTTCGAGCACCAGTCAGGAATGGCTGACAAGAAAAAGTTGGACACACCGTATGCTAGACTGTCCTCCGAGGTCCCATACTTGAAACTTGATGTTTTTATACTAGATAGTATTGTCAATACAGATGAATGCAGATTTTTTTCGAAACACACCTGAACGGTCTCTACATTAAAGCCGATTGCTGGGTTGTTCTTCGTGAGCCCCAGACTCCACAAAGCCTATGAGGACATACTCACTCGGAATCGTAGAAACCACTTCTCCAATCTGCAAATTTATTTGGACCTCCACTAAATATTTTCAACACTACTTACCTGCAATCGGTACAGGATTGTCGTCTACGAAAATACCAGTCCATTTCAACCCGAATAACATCACATTTACAAGTGGACATACCTTGCCGGCCGAATCGAGGCCAAGCATGAGTATACGGACATCTTGATCTTTGCTCCATCGTACCAGCGATGACAACGATGTGAAAAGGGAAGATATTGTAAGACCCATGGAATCAGTATGTGAGTTTGCTTTGTAGTAGTCGTACTAGTGTAAATAGTAAATACCATTTCTGGGGCGTTTAGCTGGCGACCTTGTCACGTGAGCGAGTGAAATCACCTTCATCCGGCTCTCGAGTTTATATCCAAAAGTCTAGGTTTACTTAGTTGCAACTTGCTACCGATACCATCATTAGCCCTCGTGTCCTGTCCTGTCCTGTGCAGCATGTCTGTAACAGACATAGAGGGTGCATCGCCCAAATCGCACAAAAAGTCCAGGTCCGCGGACTCTCATGTCAAGGATGCAGGTCAAGAACGCGTAAAGTCGAAGAAGAGGAAGCATAGAGAAGCTACCAGTGACGCGTTGCTCATGACCACGCCAAAGGATCAAGCGACTTCTACGACACGAGACTCTCAGAGCACGAGTCATCCCTTATCTCCTTCAAGTACACCTTCCGCAGGAAATGTTGCATCCAAAAATGACCAGTTAGCAAACTTAACTACAGGTGATACGGAGCGGAAAAAGAAGAATAAGAGTTACTCAGGGGACGTGGCGCATGAGCAGTTGAAAGATAGAAGTGACGAACGTAAGAAGGAGAAGAAGAAAAAGAAACTTAAGCACTCAGACGAAGGCAAACATGAGGGTGCCGCACTTGATGAACAGGTCGCACATTTGAACGACACCAAGGTCCAAACACCAGAAGAGGCTTCCCCAGATAAACCACAACAGAAGAAGAAGAAGAAGAGAAAGGCGGAGGAACAGTTGGAGGAAACACCTGATAGCAAACCGTTCAAAAGAAAGAAAGACTACCGTCCACCAGATTTACCCTCCACAGATCCTAGTGTAGACGAGTCTCTGTCCAATCAAAGTCGGAAAGGTATGTCGTAAAATTTCCGTTTGTGATTACTGAGCATAGAATGATTTACAGCGTTGTCGTATGCATATGCACGATTTGAGGATCAACTGAACTGGAAGTTTAATAAGGCTAAGCAGATATGGCTAATTAAAAGATTGTGGTCGGAAGAAATGGTCATGAATTTCTCCTGTGAGTTTGTCGGTTGGCTGATCTTAGTTTTCCACTGCAGATACCCGAGAAGTATTTTACCCTAGTGACCAAATATCTCGCAGATGTGAAGGGGGGAATTCGAGACGTATGTTTTGGTTATCTTGTTTGACGAATAGTCTCGTAATGCTCTTCTCTAGAACCTCATACAGATGTGCAATTCTGTAGTGGCCTCGGAGACACCGGATCCTGTGACTTCAGAGTCAGCTGTATTACCTACTGATCTTTCGGGTGGAGGGTCCACTATCACGACCAAAGTGATGAGAGCTCGTAGCTTACTGGGTGCTCTGTCGGATGTACAGTGAGATCAACTCAATCTGACGTTACGTGGGGCAGCTATTTGAACTATCAGTCCAAGGATTGCGGGCTTCATGTTACCTTGAGCAGACAGGCACATAACGCTTGCAAGAATGATGGTGATGACCGCATTGACATTGGAATATGGATCTTATTTAACAGTGTCAACAACCATTAAGCCGAAACTGCGACAGTAGGCGCGACGGGCATGTCAATTGGATTGACAGGAACCCGTGGTGCTTTCGCTTTCTTTGGCAGAGCCCCAGCAATGTGCTCAACAGCTCCGGTCATCAGCACAGCTTCCACCTTCATCTGAATCGTCTCCGTCTCGCTTAACTCGATAGGTCCCAAAAGGTCCTCAAAGCTCTTCCGAACCACCTGAACTGCATTAACGTCAACCAAAGCCATGTCTCCATCATGCAACGTCTGTGGTTGTCCAGCGGTGTTGATCTGAGCGTTACTCCAGATGGGCTCGACATTTTCTTTGCCTATACCAACATTGGCACGTCCACCTAACTTTGCCCAATCGCTGATCCGGTTGATTTTGAGCTCCGTGAACACTGTGTCCATTGCAGTAATCAAGCCATCAATTTGCTCTGCGGTGTGGCGGGGAGTGACAGTGACCCGAAGGCGCTCTTCACCAACAGCAACGGTGGGGAAATTGATTGCCTGAACGTAGATGCCATGTTCGCAAAGAAGTTTGTCGCTGGCTACTTTTGCGAGACCTGCATCACCAACCAAGACTGGGACGATGTGAGAAGGACCAGGGACGACAGGTATGTCTAGAGCAGCGAAACGTTCCTTGACAGTGCGAACATTAACCTGTTTCAATGCTCGATCACCAACATGGTGCTTCTGGTAAATGACGGAAGCTCGAGCACCAGCGACTGTAGCGGGAGGTAGTGAGGTAGTGAAGATGAAACCAGGTGCGTATGAACGAATCATATCGATGAAATTGCGAGACCCCGCGACGTATCCTCCAACAGTGCCATATGCCTTGCCGAGTGTACCTGCCAACGGTAAGCCGAGCCGGTCAGATAGACATGCGTGATAATGACTAACCAGTAATCATGTCAATACGATCCATCACACTATCCTTGATCGGCTCGGAAGTTTGACCGGCCATCTGGTGGGATTCCCAATCGAGATGCTCAGCAACGCCTGCACCGCGGGGCCCGTAAAGTCCGACAGCGTGGACTTCATCAAGGAAAGTTAGGGCGCCGTACTTCTCAGCCAGATCACAAATCTCCTCGATAGGCCCGATGCTACCACACATCGAGTAAACACTCTCAAATGCAATAATTTTAGGGGTGTCCTTCGGATACTTCTTAAGTTTGGCCTCGAGGTCGCCCAGATCGTTGTGTTTAAAAATTTCCTTCTTCGCACCGGAGTGCCGAATGCCCTGTATCATGGATGCGTGGTTGGAAGCGTCTGAGAAGTAAACGCAACCAGGAAGTTTGGAACCGAGGGTAGATAAAGTTGCATCATTGGCGACATAGCAAGACGAAAATACGAGCGCGGACTCCTTGCGATGAAGGGTAGCAAGCTCACGTTCGAGACCGAGATGCATAGCACTATTTCCAGCTATGTTTCTAGTGCCTCCAGCGCCTGCACCGTATTTGTCCAATGCCCGACTGCAAGAGAAAAACGTTAGCTTACGACAAGATCATATGACTACAGAGGCTATACGCACTGCATGGTTTCAAGGACGACAGGATTATTTCCCATTCCCAAATAGTCATTAGCGCACCAAACTTGGACCTCTTCTTTGACGCTCGCAGTGTGCGCAATTGGAAATTTGGTTGCAAGCCGGTTGATGTTGTTGAAGTAGCGGTAGGACTGATCCTTGTGCTTCTTCTCGAGCTCGGCCGCATAAAACTTGTCATATTTGTAGGCATCTGAAGTGGCAGGGGTAGTCTGGGTTTCTGTCACTTCAGACAATTTAACGGGTTGGTCCTTTGCAGCAGCAGCCTTATGGAAAGGGCATCCGGCGGCAGCGGCCCTCTGGGCGGTGCTTGGGACTTCCTTTTTGGCTTCAGGTGCCTTCGCAGTAGATGCGGCAGCAAGATCGTCCGCCATGCGAGCAGCAGCCCGAGCAGCGGAAGCGTGAGGGCATTTGGAAATATCCGCTTCGGAAACACTGGTTCCCGGGAAGATACCTTTGCTGTGGTGGATGTTCTGGACGTCGGCCTGACCAGCAACACTGGCGTAACCTGCGACCATTTGGGTAGAACGCATCACCAAGGCCGGACCCATGATGGGACAACTCGCAGCTCGTTCAGTGAGCTGAGAGATCGAGGGGAATCTAGGGGAAATGGCGCTGCCGAGGGCGCGAAGGGTTGAAGTCTTCGTCCCGCCCAAAAACGGGCAGGAACTCTTGAAACGAGCCAGCGAAGAAAACTTTTCCATGTTCAAGTACTGG